GTGCACATTGCCTTATCTGCCTCAGTTTCCTCATCTGTCAAGAGCAGTGTTCACATCAGCTCATGGATAGAGATGGAAGGGAGAGACAGAGCGCGATTAAGCTCCATCATTTCTCAGGTGTCAGCCTGCCCCATTGGTCCGGCTTTATCGTTGCAGTCCTTGGTGAGATGACTGCTCTGTGCCAAGCGCAGTGCTGGACACGGTAGGTTCCAGGAACAAAGGCAGTTTAGACCCGAGGTAGGACGAGCAGAATCCACAAGACTGAGATTGACTGCAGGAGAGCAGGAGGTGGGGGGGGCTTGGAGGACTGGGGTGGTTCTGTGCTGGGTAAGGATGGTGTGTGTGTGTGTGTGTGTGTGTGTGTGTGTGTGTGTGTGTGTGTGTGTGTATGCTGTGTGTAAGTGCGCATGCATTGTATAAGAATGCTGGGTGACAGTGTGCATGTGTCCGTGTGTGTGTGTGTGTAAGGATGCTGCGCGTGTGTGCGTGTGTGCGCGTGTGTGTGCGTGTGAGTATGCATGTGTGCATGTGAGCACAATCATGCGTGTAGAGATGCTGTGTGTGAGCGACTGTGTATGAGTGTGTGCACATGTGAATGTGTGCGTGTGTGTGCAAATGGACACCCGTGTGTGTGTGTGTGTGTGTGTGCGTGTGTGTAATGATGCTGCACATGTGTGCATGTGTGCGTGCATGTGTGTGTGGGTACATGTGTGTGTGTGTAAAGATGCTATGCATGCATGCATATGTGTGTGCTGTGTGTGTGTGTGTGTGTGTGTCTGTGTGTCTGTGTGTGATGTGTGTGCACGGTGGATGGCACGGGACGAGTAGAGATTCTCACTGAGGTTAGGTGTGCCTGCTTCACACTGAGCAACCAAGCACGGGGTTTCCGGCACCTTCTGTCAAGGCCAGGCCTTATCTCGTCATCGAGACTGTCCCCGGAGGCTGAGAGTGCAAGAGTGAGCACTGCAGGTGCTTGACAGGAACGTGCACCGTGACCACCCCAGAACCTGTCCACTCAGGGGAAAGTCGGGCCATGACTGCCTCCATCTTGGAAAGGAAGGAGTTCCGTGTGCACGTAAAACAGGGCGGGGTCCCTAGGATTCTCCCAGCAGGACCCACCCCTGCTGTGACCCCAGTCCTCAGCCAGTCACCCCCACTCCTATGGGAGTCGGGGAAGTGTGTGCTTCTTCCCTGGTCCCCCAAACTGTAGCTAAGAGGAAAACCCACCAGCCCACCCTCCCTCCCCCTCGGCAAACTAGCCCTCACAGTGTCCTCCGAGGCTCTGCAGACGGCATCTGGCGTCCTCCCTTTTAATGGTCCTAAAGGTAACCAACCTAGATCACGGATGTTAGATAGAAAAACCCAACTGTGATGGAGCCCCAGCTCTGGCACGTTTTGCAAAGAGGCTGACTGTGAGACAGTTTTAGCTTGAACCTCCCACTGTGGGAGGTGATTAGTTTATAGCAGTGGTGGATTATGCAAGCTCCAAGCCTCCTCCCCGAGCCGAGGGGAGTCTAATAAATCCCCTGTGCGGGTGGGTGCAGACCCCATTTAACGTCACCTGTTTCCCCCACTTGTGTAAGTCGGGGGGGGGGGGCTTCAACCGCACAGTCAGGTCAGCGGGCTGCAAGCAAGGGGGTCTCATCCAAGTTCAGAACCAACCAGTCTTTTCAGGGGCGCTCCAGGTGGCAGCCACAGGAAAGCCACTGGGAAGAATGCCCCACCCCCGTCCCACCCCACACCCCCAGCCCAGCCCAACCCCCCCACCCCACCCTACCCCACCACCCCACCCCCACCTCATTACAAGGGCGAGGGCAGTTGTCATTCACCCGACTCCCAGAGAGCGAGGGCTGGAGTTGACTCAATAGTTCAAAGTCTTTCACAAAGACACAGTTACAGATTCAAAATAAAGTGGTATCCATTTCAAAGAGTGAGCAAGTAACTGCATCTAGGAAGAAATGTTCATTCGTCAGCTCCAGGAGCTCCCACCACAGCCACAGAGTCTTGGGTGCAAAGTTGATGTACACACACACACACACACACACACACACACACACACACGGGAAATCACTTAAAGTGAGGGGAACAGAATAGCTGTGGAGATGAAGCTCACTTACTGCTCTCATTGCCCAATAAAAGACAATTCCTTTCGGGGCATGGCTTGGGGCTGGTTTTTAATCCTAGGTATGAAAGCACTTGCATTTGCACTAATATTTTAAAAAGGAGAGGAAAAAACAAAACAAAACAAAACAAAACAAGATGAACTGCGAAGGTGATCTGTTTCCTATACATTTGAGTGATTCTCCTAAACAGCAACTCTGACTAGATGCCATGAAACTCAGCCAAAAAAAAGAGAGAGGGAGCATGGATTTGGCACCTACTAACTGCTGCAATGTGTGGAGCTGAAGCGCGGGGGGGGGGGGGAAGAGGTGAAGGGTCCTACAGCTGATGAGGAAAGGCCACCTGACAAGTGGTTATTATATAATGGCCCTTATACAAGTGGGGAAACTGAGGCTGGGAGTCAGAAAACGGCATCGCTCTCGTCTTCCTGTATGGCAAGCTCCAGATTCCACTCTTCCCGGTCTGTGTGTTTGTATGGGTGTGTATGTACGTGCTGCATAAATTAAGTATGTTTATGTGGGGGGGGGGTGGTACGTGCGTGTCTGCCCACCTGTGTATAAATGTGCGTGCAAGTGGGTATGTGTATGTATATGTGTGTGCATACGTGTATGCACGAGCGCATAGGTATGCATGTGTGTATGTGTGTGAATGCATGTGTATGTGCCTGTGTGTGAGAGAGCGTGTGTTTGTGTATGTCTGTCTGTGTGTATGTCTAAATATATGTGTGCAAGCATGGGAATGTGTATGTATGTGTGCGTGTATGCGTGTATGTGCATGTGTGAGCATTTGCGTGTGTGTGAGTTTTCAATCTTTCCTTTAAAAAATCTGTAATAAAGAAATAAATAAACAAATAAATAAACAAACAAACAAATAAATAAATAAATAAATAAATAAATAAATAAATAAGAGAAATGAGAAAAATCGCCATTTTCCTCTTCCTCAAGCGGCCCTGATTCTGGGGGCATCCTTCTCGGGGAGGGGGGTGCTAAGACAGCAGTTGTATTTAGCTTCTCTTCCCTGGACGCCATCTTCTTTGGCGTTTCAAACATTAGAAGCTTATGTGCAGAAGTGCCAATCATACCAGTAAAGGGAGCATACCTCAGTGAGAGCTTCCCCAAGCTCAATCACTTTTTTTCTTTTGAATGCTGCAACAAGACTGCCCTCGTGTTTAACCCCAGCCCTCTCAGACTATCACCCGTCTTCTTGCGACTAGTCCACAGTTTTCTGTGCTGGTTTTCCTACAGGGAACCAGCCTGAAAACCCAAGTCGCTGTTTCAGATGTAGATCACGCAAGGCACTATGTTTGGGGGAGCATGAGATTTCTCACCTCTCTCTGTGTCACAGGCAATATCCTTGCCTTCCAGCAGTTAAATGTACCTGCCCCCAGAACACACCTGTAAATCACCATCACAGTTCAAAGACTGAAATGACGCAATGGCCACTGGCCTCTTCTCCATCCTGGAAATGCCTCAGGGTGGGGAGTGGGGGCTTTGGGGAAAGCAGGGACAAAACTGGTTATGTGAACAACAAAAAAGGTGACTTCCTTCCCCCAAACATAAAAACTTAAACCAATTTAGCACATATTTAAATAGAGCAACTCTTAAAGAGCCTTTTCAAGCAAGGAGGAGAAACAGGCTGTCCTGGACTGGTGCTTCCTGTTGTGTGTGGCACCCTGAAATCCTGAAATCCTGTGTCCTTTTTTTTTTTTTTTTTTTTTTTTTT